TAACACTTTGGAAATCTGTATATGAAATGGGTGGTAGGAATATCGGAATTCCGCCTGGGCCAATCACTGCCCACAGAGGAAATAACCGTCAAGTTTAATCGCATTTAGGTTTCAGTCCATGGATTTCTGTATATCTAAAGCTAAAAGAGACACATTATGTTAAGATCTTATGTGGCTGGTGCATTTTACATACCATCACGTGAACCTCTTGTCTGTCCTCTTCAATAACAAAAGAGCTTTTGTCGTTTTTATTTGTTTACCTTTGATTCATTTCAGCTCTTCTATCTTAGCCATGCTGTGATTTTAGACATTTTGGAGTGTGCAACGTATGTGACATGTAAATAAACTTAAATGCTATCTATCGTTTACCCGAGTAGTACACATTTAAATAGAACACTTTGACGGTTTAAAACGCGATATATTAGTTAAACTTATTTGAAAATGATTTTTAACTTCGGCCCGACGTTTCGGATGCTTTGCAGCAGCCGTGGTAACGGGGAGACTAAAGCGGAGGATGTCTCTGAGAGACGTCGGGCCGAAGTTAAAAATCATTTTCAAATAAGTTTAACTAATATATCACGTTTTAAACCGTTAAAGTGTTTTATTTAAATATGTGAATAAACTTACTTATGTTAACATACATATATAATTAAAATATCATTTAGAAAGATGTGATTATATTTAGAATCATTCTTCTAATCCTCTTCCGGATAAAAAATTACCTATAATGGCGACCAAAACTTATCTAATGGAATATAAAATCAAAGTCAGCACCTCGACGAGCACTATTATTCCATTAACACACACATACATAGTAATACGACATATATTTGAGTTAACTTTAGTGACGTCACTGTTTCTAATAATGGCTCACGTCGCGCTGATAAAATTTGAGCCAAGGCTTCTAAAGGTAATTTTAGCAGTTAAAACCTTTAGTAGTATATTTTCTGCGACACATTGAGCCTCAACTAGTAAATACTATCTGTAGTTTACGCGAGTAGTTCACATTTAAATAAAACACTTTGACGGTTTAAAACGCGATATATTTAAGTTAAACTTGTTGACTTCAAAGAATCCGAAACGTCGGACCGTAGTTAAAAATAATATTCAAAGAACTTCAACTAAAATATATCGCGTTTTAAGCCGTTAAAGTGTTTTATTTAAACCTCAATAACTATTTATTTTAAGGTAGAAATTACATTATGTAAGAGGGGCGCGTGTAAAAAGGTTGAAGAAATTCGACGATGACGTGTAGGATAGGGTAGCTCAATTGGTTAAAGCAGTAGCACGCTGTGGTTGAGGGTTTGAGTCCCGCCTTTGTTATAGATATTTAAATTCATCTTTCAATTTAAATTAGGATTTTAATATATTTGTTAACTTATATTTAATTTAAAGACACCGTGACTCAGTTCTGTAAGAACTCAGGCAATTTCTTTCAATACCACTACGAAGAAACAGATGGCGCTAGCATGGCAGATTTGACCTTGAGGAACACTCTCCTTTTTAGTACCCCGTAGCTGCGTATATATTTCGTGACTTATACCGGTAAGTGTTTACTAGTGTAAAATACAGACAAGACTTGATTATATATTACCTCTAATTTCCAGACCGATAAAGTGGGTTTCTAAACTCCCATTTTGGCACTTACAATTAACATTATATTATCCTCGTTCGCATTGAACTAAATACCACATTGTGAAGCTGCTGAGATGTTTGCGTCAAAGGAATTCGTTTGAAACAGCATTCCCCCGGAAGCTGGTTAATTCAAGCAAATTAATTCATATCAAGTGAATCCTTTGTAATCATTCTGATGGGTACGGGATGGGTCGGCAATGAATAACCCGGGCCCTTATTTCTCTGTTTGTCCACGTCGCTTTAACAAAGGGTAAACATGCTGTAAAAACTTTCCGCAAATTTTAAGCTTTGTTTGACCACTTTGCTCTTATTATCTCAGTCGTTTAAATTTAGAATCGTCACTTGAAATAATTCTTGAAAAATATCAGGATTAAATAACATACACGAGTAATGGATAAGACTGGCCTTTTTATAAATAAGCACACAACCATTGTGTGTAGTATAAGCGAGTAGTTGACATAAAACAATGTTAACCGTTAAAAACACGAAATATATTAATTAACATATTTTAAATTTAATTTTCTACGGGTCGATATATCACATGGTATGGAGCAGCCGTGGTCACGGGGGGTCTTGTAATAGAGGTAAATTTCGAATCTGCTACGCTGGTGCCATTTATTTAGTCATAACTAATATACATATATCGCGTTTGAAACCATTAAGTGTCTAATCAAACAAGTGTGTATTAAGGAACCTTAACGGTATTTTAATCGAAAATGCATATGCAAAGATTAATCATATTAACAGAAATCAGAATAAACGGAACTAATTTCGTAATGAGATACTGTGTTCATTATAATTATGAATACATACTTTTATATCTATATATACTGTGACTTATGTGTATATTGTCCTATTTTACCAGACTTATTAGTTGATTGTGGAAGTAACATTGTTAATCAATGTTTAAAATCTTATTTACACAGATGCCAAATAAAAATGCATGTAAAAAATCATGTTTTATTTTGAAAACAATTTATTCGCTTAAGTACAGTGAACGTTGAGAATTCACAAGAATATTCACCGAAGTTATTGCCAAGGAAGGACGTTTAACTCAAATATTAAATAAAATACAGGGAAGAGAATAGCTTTCTAGAAAAAGAAAGATTACAATATGTTTTATCAGACTACTTTGCCCAAATCAAACAATCATTCTATAAAACCCTCATACGATAAAATTTAGTAATCTTATAACACCGAAACATATCCATTCTATTCCATACATTTTAACAATTTTTATACTATCGAGTTTAAAAACCACCTCGAAACAATAATAGAAATATTTTAAACAACCCCTTAATTAATAAATGAAATTACATTTATATTTACATATGTTATGTATAGTATTAAATAGCGCAACAGGTGTTTTGAAGGAATTACACCGTTTTGCATACAAAAAATCTTACAAACTGAAATTAAAGAATATAACACAAAAAAGACTGATCTAACAATTGCCCAACATTGCCTTAAGTATGAGAATTGCAGGGTTTGAATCTTGAAGAAATATTTATTCGATCAACTGCTTCTCAAAAAAGGTCTGTCTCATTATGTCGTCCGAAAGTTAGAAAAGGTTGTTCTTTACAACGAAGCAGTTACATGAAAATTTGTAAAGCCCTCAAAACACTCTACACGGTTTAATAAATCATTACTATCTAATGTTTTAACAATCACAATTATCAAACATGAATAATATTATTGAGCCAAAGCTACATTTTTAACTCTAATTCGTCAATGCTTGTCACTACAAGGGAACTATGGACCAATTTAGTATAGATGCTTAACACAGGCTACGTTAATATAATTGTTTTATCAAAATTGTGATAATAATGATTGTTAATATCCTTAAATAATAAAAGATCAAGCGAGCTATGTACAATGATATAAACACTATGTTATAAATGGTAACGGCTTCCGACTAAAGATAAATGTTATTTACAGTTTTAAATTGATGATTGAACACAATTCGTGCGGGATTTATTGACTTCAAAAGAACAGTACAAATTGGGAGCTCTCAAACGCAAGAATTTTACGAATCAAAGAATTATTAAATTTAATCAACAACGCAAAAGTTTGATTAAAACAAGCAAGAGATAATTCACGGCGCGAGAACAGTGGAAATGTACGCAAAGTTACAGCGGCGCGATTTGTAACACTTTAATATATCGCTGGATGTATTCGTAAGAACATTCATTTACTAGTTTTCAACTACACGAGTCCGCGGAGACAAAACAACGAGACCTTAAAGTTATCCGAAACCTAGAGCTATAAGTTTCAAACTTCCTAGCCAAGTTAATGCTAGTCCCTGGAAATTAATTAACCGCTGAGAGATCGCTTTCTAAGTGAAAACCAAAAAAAAAATGTTGTTTAACCTCTACCTGTAACAGAAAAAGCTCTTCTTTTTTTTTCAAATTACTGTTTAATTAATCGAACTCATTTTCAAACCAAACGTCTTGCCACTATCGCCTTACGTCATAATAATAAGTTTGATCCTTCGAGCCGGAGTGAAAAGGATTTTTTTTAAATCGCGATAAGCTTGACTTTAAATTGCACTTCATAACTTTTCGTAATAAGAAACTACATATCTATTAAAAAATGCAATAGTCGGAGACCGTGTCAATAAATAAGAGCGATTCGTATTGTCGATGTGCTCCACCGGATTTGCGTCAGATATCGCCTATATTATAAAATATTTACAGTCTTCACAATTTTTGTTATTACAGTTGTGATTAAAGGGAGAGAATAAGAGACGTGAAAATTGGGTATTCGAACATTTTGTTCACATGTGAGGACAGACAAACACTACATGATAAGTGAAATACATCAGCCTATAGTATCTAAACAATGATGCACTGTCGACCTATTTTGGCTTTGGATATTCGGAAACCCACAGACTGAAACCGAAACGCGATTAAACTTAACCTTTTTCATCTGTGGGCGGTGGTTTGTGGAAGGAATTTCTATATTCCTACCACCCATTTAGTATCCAGGTTTCCAGAGGAGTCCAACATGTTTCTGAAAAATTATAAATTGGCTAGAAAATTTTGAACCTGGAGGGAATCAAACCCCCCGTTGATTATAAGCCCTACATTGCTACTAATACACAGACGAGCCCGTCGAAATAAGAAAATATTTTTGAATGTTTGGAAAAACTACATATTCTAATGTTGATTCATTCGTTCTGTCATTGTTTATTTACTACATTGATTTCATATCACTCCCATTATATTGATCATTATTCTCCGTCTTTAAGCACAACTAGGGCGACACGATTCACTTTGGTCAGCGTATATGGCCATTAAAAATTACAAGAGGCAACGCAACCATAGTGACTCATGCCTTCATAGTAAAACATAAAATTTCAACATCTATATAACTCTAGTTTCGTTCCGCTGTTCGATGTCTTTCAGGAAAAGCAATTTGTCTGCGCGATACCTGTCAGACAGAGGAAAGAATTTCATTATTTGAAATGAATTATGCTAATGGCAAAACGGAAATATTGCATTGTGTATCGCTTCCGTAGTATTGGAGTGTATTTCGTTTTAGTTTTTCCGTTTCACAAATGGAGGTGCTCAGTTCGTTTCTAGAAAAATACTTTTAGCTTTTGAGAAAATGTTTAGAGTGGGTGATTTTTAAAAGGAGCAGTTTAATCAGTTGTTGAATATAACATATATATAGAGTATTTTTTCTTACTTGGCATTTTTGGTTAACAAACACACTTACTTTAAATCGTTATTTTCCCACAAGGTTTACATTGATTTACTATAAAAACATTTTGAGACAGTGGATTATATGCTACACTATTGAACTGCTTCAAATTCACTTTATAAAAAAAATAATAATAATAATCCGAAAAATTGGTTTACGTAAATGTAACATATTAAAATTTCCTTACTTTGGCAATTACATAAGGAGGGGATATAAGTAAAGTCAAAGACAATATATGGCAAAAGACCCACTCATGCACGATCGCTGAAAAAGTATTACAAAATATGTCGAGTTAAATAATAATGAATTAAAGTGAGTTTAAATATTGAGGTCATCTGTGGCAATGACTACACTCTATACACGGGCATCACTACATCGATATGGTTTGAAATCGGCTCTATTTGTCTTTTGCCAAGTTAGAAAAAATACACTATTCAGATTTCTGGTTAATAGTTTTAATAATGTCAACCATGTAATTGTCTGGTGTAATTTGGGTTCAAGTTGTTTTCTGTATACCGGGAAGTACGTACTTGGATCGTTTTTTTCTTCTCGCCGTATCTACAGGCGTTGCTTCGATACACAGCACAATTAGTCTCGAACTGCAGGAATATCTACGAAAACATAAAAACTTTATAAAAAAGCAGTAGTAAGAAAAAGTTCTTTTTTTGTTGATTACCAATTTCAGGCAGGCAATATTTATTTATAAAACCCTTCCATTAAGACCCAAAAAACATTTACTTTAGTCTTATGATAGGAGTATAAGAAAGGTAATGTGAAAATACATTTTCTGTATACCTATTCTTATGTTCATTATTGTTTTTATATCGTACTGAAAGTGTTTTTTTTAATGATATATTATATATATAAAAAAAAACAAAAAACCAAGCATGGGATTTGCTTGATGGTGTTATATCCTAGGCATATAACATCTAAATAAGATGCGATCTTTGGATATTGCGAAATCCATAGACTGAAATCAAAGCGCGATTAAACCTAACGGGTTTTTCACCTGTAGGCAGTGGTTTATGAGGTTTACCGGTATTTAATTATAACTAAAACCCATTAATAATCTTTATTATAGAAAAAACTGCTAGTCCAAAATTTCAAAGTATAATCATATTTTTGTTGGCACGAAACAGTCCGTATTTGTATTAGAGTCTGAAATAAGCTTCGATTTTATTTATGTCAGTAAATTAACTCACGTCTCTTGATCTAGCAGTTTATTGGAGCGCAGCGAAGAGGCGAGGCCGAATTTCTCAGGGTTGCTGCTGTGCCACGCGTCGCAGTACGCGTCCATCGCTGGCTCGCCGTTAGGGCTAGCACCGTGCCAAACGGCTTTTTGAGACCTGTACACAGTTCTGACTTAGAAAAGAAAAAGAGAAATAGGCACATATTCTACTAGCTTTAACGCTGTCCACGTAGAGTAGTAAACCCGCAAAGGTGAAAAATTTTCTCCCTTTTCACATGTGTCACTGTCTCTTTCCTGTAATTCGTAACGTGATGTTTTATAGCCTAAAGCCTTTCTATATAAATGCTCTAACTGACCCAAGAAATACTTTTTCTATTCGAACTAGTAGGTTCTTAAGATTAGTGTTTTGAAACAAACAAATAAACAAACTTTATAATTTTAGTGTCGATAATTCATAGAGAGAGGTTTGACTATTGCAATTAACTTGATATTCATAATATGTAAAAGGCGAATAAATATTTTGATTCAAGACCGCATACAAGCAAAATTAGCTGATTTATGCATTACATAAATGTGGATTATATCTTTCGTTCCATATTCTTTTGAAAAGTAGACAATATTTTTTCCATAGCGAATTATATTGTTACAATAGAAACGCATAATAGATATTGCCTGTATTTGGGCAATTCCTAGACACTAATGTGTCTATTACAAAAACAACTGCTCGTCGGGTCATTGAATAAGTTTACAAATGAGCCCCGAAACCTATATTTATGGCCCAACAATCGTCTACGCACGCAATGTAATGTTTCATCGTAGAATAACATCACGCGTATAAGTCGTCACAACTTCTATTCACTCAACATATAATCAAAGTAGAAATTATACTGGTACTATGTTTACGTTTCCGAAATTGGGTCATCATAAAATTGTAAGCGAATTTTACCTTCATGAATATAATAATACGTGGGAGCCGTGGCTGGGATTTTGGTCGGGGTTAGGGCATAAAATGGAATAAGTAATATGAAAAATAGTTACGTTCCGCTTGCATCCTAATTTGTAATTTCCGTCTACGTTTCCGGGATTTATTTTAATGCATTAATTTCATCATATAGTGAAATTTGAATTCTGCTGAATTCTTTACACCCAGAAGTTATTACAAACTTCTAATTCAGTTTATTCTTTTTAATACAACACTTATAAGGGTTTGAAACGGGAAATAGTCCGATTCTCTCCGTGACCACGGCTGATGCAAATCATCCATTGGGCCGTAGTAAAAATAAATAAAAAATAAGTTAATTAATATACTTCGCGTTTTAATAGTGTTGAATTAAAAATGCTTGAATGAAAACATCGAACAAATGAGTCAAATTGCGTATTGCTCTCAACCATTTACCCTCATGTTTGTCAACCGTGATATATCACTTAAAATTCTTGCTTCAGCTTGGAGCCCTGGATTACCTAGTATGGGAGTGGAACAGGGGCCTTCATACGTCGATGCTATGGATAACTAAACAATGAAGATAAGTAGGTACAAAAAAGTGAATAAAACGATTGATAATGAAAAAAATTGACGACACATGCTGAATTTGAACCGGCATCCAAGACGTTCCATGCTGTTGCTTTGATTAATTGAGCTACTGTATCCTACACGTCATCGTCGAATTTTTTCAACCTTTCTCGCGCTATAATTTCGAAGTAAACAATAATTATCCTTCTTATGTCTCCTAGATTACAATGTGATTTGATCTACCGAAACAGGATCTGATTTTCCAATTCCGCGACGACGCAAAATTAATATTCCCATCAGTCTCCCTTAATCCGTAACGCAAAATTAATTGCAAAACACCTTTGCCTTCACGTCAACCACCCTTTGACATTGATGATGAAATAAACAGCAGCTCTAAGAAGCCGTAATTGACTGAGAAATTAGTTTACATGACCTGTTTTCATAACTAAAAGGTTTTAGGGGATCGATCTACGGATTATGGGGCTCTCTGCGTTTGTAAAGGAGGTAATAAAAATATATTTAGAGGGATATTCACTGTCTGTAGTTTTACAAAAAACACTTTTAACGGTTTAAAACTTTTCTTTTTTTAACTACGGCCCAACGTTTAGGATGCTTTGCAGCAGTCGAGTTCATAGGGGGATGCAAAACGTCGGGACGTAAAGTAAATTATAACTAAGTTTTACTAAAACAATTCGCATTTTAAACCGTCATAAGTGTTTTATTTCAATGAGTACAATTACCAAGATAACTATACTGTTTTACACATCAACTTTGTAAGTATCAGATTCACGGTTGATTAACTGTTGCTTGTAGTTTACACGAGTAGTTCACAACACTTTGAACGGTTTAAAACGCCGAATACATTAGAAATACTCTTATTAAATAGATGACCATGTCGGTGATAGAATCAAGATAAGTTGGGCATTGAAGTCCATAAAAAATCTTCTAAATATATTTACGCTTGATATTATGAACCTACCTAAAGTATCTTTCTATTTCATGGAGGAAAATTTGATCTTACCAGCCAGGATCAGTAAGCACATTCTTCCCGCTGAAGCTGTATATCCTCGGCGCATGCGCAAATAATGCACCAGATCCATCGAACATTTCTCCCCAGGAGTTGAAGAGGACATCACCGCGTATATTCACCACTGGTATCTCTCTATCCACCCAACTCACAATGGAATCTATGTTTTGGACCCTGTTAATTTTTAATTAACTATTTTTGAATATAGGAAGATAAACACGCATGTCGTTTATTTTACGGTGGGTATTACCCTTTTTTTATTTTGGCTTTGGAAATTCGAAATCCGCAGACTGAAACCGATACGCGATTAAACTTTATGGCTTTTTCTGAACTGATTTCTAATCACCCATTTCATTTCCAGACGTAATCTAATTTATTTATTTATTTACAGCAATTAAAACGGCAGTAGCCAGTTACATTAATTGGAGACACACATAACGATAACAATTAAAAATAGGTTATTACAAATTAAATTACGAGATAATTTCAAAGGCAGACAATTCTTTTAGTATTGAGGACCAATCATCTGCGTAGAGGTCACATTTGGGTCTTTACTTAAGGAGAGCGTTGAGTGAAGTCAAAATTCGCGGTATCGGAGTAAAATCGCGGCGGAGGTGCGACCTTTTGGGACGTCAAACAAATCGTGTCTCCTAGCGCGGCCATAGTTGTCCGGGACAAACAGTCGACAAAGCTTCCCTCTAATATGTTTCCGAAAAATTATAAACCAACTACCTATTGTTTATAAGCCATATTTTGCTACCATTACACCAACGATCTCGTCAACAAGCTAAAGAAATCTATGTGGTTGTCAAAAGGACCGTCTGTGCCCTGCCTGTCCAAAACATTGTATTCCTGAAATTCGAACCCAGAACCTCTCGCACACGCAATGTCATTTTACCATTTTGCTACAGAGTATAAAGAAGAAATATCCATTAATTAAAAATAAATTACTTATAAGACGTTCTGCACCAATAAAGAAAGCCTCCTATAAAGTTTCCCTCATAATGAATATGTATCAGCGTTCAAGGGTAAATTTCACATTCATTAAATCTTCGACTTTGTTTGCTATCTGTCGGCACAAAGGGTATAGTAAAGTCTTCCGTAGGCAGAACAGAATAAAGGCTAGTTTACCTTGAAGAGATGAAAGCACGGAAAGTGCCATCGAGGCCGGCTCTCTGGGCTTGTCTGTGGCACTCGTAATTGGTACTGCTTACCCCGTGCATGTCGCCTGTGTGGGGTTCATTCAACGCGGCTAGACGAAGCTGTATTGGAATAAACATAGGTACAAATTTTGTGGTACATATTGTTACATGTATATAGTTATCTATACTTATTACAAAGCTGAAGAGTTTGTTTGTTTGTATGTTTGAACGCGTTAATCTCGGGGACTGCTGGTTCGAATTGAAAAATTATTTTGTGTTGGCTAGAGCATATATCCAGAAAGGGTATAGGCTATAAAACATCGCTCTGTGATCATCATCTTATGGGTTACCGAGGTGTACGCTGCAAATAATATGTATGAAAGAATGATTCCTCTATAAAGGATCTAAAAAAAGTCTGCGACGCTATAGTCTATATTTTAAGATTAACTTGCAAGAATGACGGGAAGAGAAGCGACTGATATCGTGGCTTAAATTTATAGAAAAGGAGGTTTGCATGAACAAATTTGTATTGTTATTCTACGCGGACGAAGTCACTGACACAGCTAGTGGTATTTACGTACTGTATTACAAACATAGCTAATAACAAACATCAGTTAAGTTATAACTGCGAAGGTTCTTCAAAAACAAGCTATTATGATAGCATAACTTTCCAGTATAAAATTATCTAAATCTTATCATAAACCAAATAACTCTACTAAATGATTTAATTACTACTAACAATCTAAATATATGGAAATTAAACAATATGCAATAGCTACTATGGAACTTTTCGACTTGTTCTCTCTATAACATTGACATCTACATCACTAGATCTATTCCTAAATTGGTATGTAAGTCAATATGTTACGAAATGTATATCAAATAAATACACTTCTAAGTAGTATTCTGTTTCAAAGGTCCAAAATCAATTTACATAAATTGATTTTAGATACACTTTGTTTATTTAGTAACCATCAAGGTCTCCAGACGTCTAGAGGTATGTACGTTATTTGTGTAACATAAAGCAAATTATCTATTCATATAAGAGCAAAACAAATAACTAATGATAAAAACAAACACTTATAACCGTTTAAAACGCGAAATATATCAATTAAATTAATGTAAAATTTTCGATGCTTTGGCGACGTTTCGGATGTTTTATTGCAGGCGTGGCCGCGGAGGCATATAAATTTCGCATTTAAAACTGATAGAAATGTTTTACTTAAAACAATGTATTACTCAGCCTTTCTCCATTACGATAATTTGAAGATATATTACGCTGTTTTATACGGCATATGTGTAAGTATATGTAACTGATAAACAAATGTCAAAATTGATTTAAAATTGACATAAATTAAAAAATAAATTTAGTAAATCTTTTCGTAATTTAACAAACGAAACAAGCTACATACAGGATATGAGAAAAAACAATGACAATTCAAAGTACTACAATCAAAACCGACATCCAAAAGTTGGACGTTTCAAGCCTTTTCTGAGACAGACGGACGTTTAAACAGTGACATCGCGAAACATCTAACTCCATCCCTTGTCACACTATGTCACATCTCATTGTACCCTTAACTTGTTCAGTAATTTATGGACACACTCTAGAATATTCTCGATCTAATTTCGCTTCCAAGAAAATACGTACCACCGGGCCTTCCCCAACGGGATTCTTGTGATGCACTAAACTAGAAGTTTCTAGAATATTCTGCAGCGGCGTCCGAGTGGGCCCGTTGCCAGGTGAATTGTGTACTGCCAGCAGGGAGCCCATCTGTTCCAGAGAAAATCGAAATGTAATCACATTTTCTAACCATTCGTAACTAGGTAACTATCTATATTAATATTATAAAGCTGAAGTTAGTTTGATTGTTTGAATGCGCTAATCTCAGGAACTACTAGTAGTTCGAATTGAATAATTTTTGTGTTGAATAGACCATTTATCGAGGAAGGTTTAAGGTATATAACATGACGCCGCAGTAAACCGGGCATTAAAGAAAAATAAAAATTATTTTATAGCGATAATTATACCTTGCCGATTATTTGTTAAAACCCTATCAACATAATATACACATCTTGATAACAACGAGACGTTGGCGGGATCAGATAGTTAAATATAAAAATGTAACTCTAATTAATCATAGATATGTGATGTTAAAATTATTTTTATATTAAAACAATATATCAACGCTGTAAGACTTTGGATATTATACCATAATACGTAACGGATTAAGCTTGAGATTTGCGTGATTGTGGTATGTACGAGAGGCTTGTCAATTTTTGTAAAGACATGCGGGACAAACTGTCTTGTATACAGTTTAATGAAAAGGTAATTAAAAATTCAGATGTCAAATGGGGGGGGGTCCAAATCCAAAGACTATCACCGATCGCGATTAATCTTCACGACTTTTTCATTGGTTGGTCGGTTGGACTACCGTGACCCGGTTGAAATTTCGATATTACCACCATTGGGGCCAACCCAGCGGGGCACGGACCCATGACCCATTGATTATGATTACCTTGCTACATTACACCAACGATCCCGTCAAGTAAGTATTCACACACGTCTGTATTTGAAAACATAACCCATTTAAGAAAGGCAGATATGATGTGAATTTTTGTACCATCAATTTTAAAATTACATTTTCCTTCTATGAATATTCAATATTCTCAGATTCCTTGTTAGACTGTTGCGAGATCTACTTAAAACATTTTTCTTTATATAAATCTATACACTGTAATATGATTCATTCCCCAAGGAGCACCGAGTAGATTTTACCTTTTTTCTCATAAAATTACATATAAAAAGCTCAAAGTACTCATGCGATACTGTATTGAGGGAATTGACGTAAAATCGTATTGGTAACGGTATGATAAAACTTATTTTAAGATAACATTTTCATTCTAAAAATAATAACAACCTAATGTTACTAATATTCGTTATCCTTTATTTTTGTATAAGCTTTATAATTTTTTGCCGGGTCAGTTGGTGTAATAGTAGCAACGTAGGGCTAATCACCAGGTCGAGGATTCGATCCTCAACTGGTCCGACATTTTTATAATTATTTTATAATTGTTCGGAAATATGTTGACTTTCGTCTATATATCTAGATATTGAATGAGTGTTACGAATATTGCAATTCCTTCCGGGTCCACAGATAAAAAATCTATTGAATCAATCCATTAAACTAAGTATACTTTGTAGTTACAGCGAGTAGAAGTTAAATAAAACACTTGAGTGTTTAAAACGTAAATTTTATAATTTTTTTTAGCATCTAAAATGTGCGAAAAAGAGCTGAAGGAACCAAAAAATATACTATTTAAGATTAACTCGCAATAACGATGGAATTCGGACGTCGTCGTTGGTAACAGCTATCAATTATAAAGATGAGGAGGTTTGCAAAAACAAATTATGGAGCCCAAAATAACTATTCTACGCGGACAAAGTCTCTGGCACAGCTAGTAATTGCTAAAGCTGAGCGGGTCGTTTGCAAAAATAAATAACACGATGTGCAAAATAACTATCCCTCGCGAACAGCGAAGTCGCGGGCACAGCTAGTATATCATATAAATCGTATTTTAAAAAACAAATTATTACATACATTCTGTAGTTTACGTGAGTAGTACACATTAAAATAAAACACTACAACGGTTTAAAACGCGATATATAGCAGTGAAGCAGTCGTGGTCACCGTCTCCCCGTGAGCACGGCTACTGCAAAGCATCCGAAACGTCGGGTCATAGTTTATTAAACAAGTTTAACTTATATATATATCGCGTTTTAAACCGTTAAAGTGTTTTATTTAGATCATCATCGTTTTCAAGAGCACTTGACTTCTCCTGTGATTTATTAGACTACAAAACTGTATGAAAGAGAAATAACCCATGTCTTAACGGAGTTTAGTACAAATCCCGCCATTACTCCACCAGCGAACAAAGCTGAGCGGAATTTTAAATTCAAGGATTTTCCTCTTATGATAGAGCCTGATCCTTGAAATGAATTTCCTGATACTCGAGATGAACGTTGATTTTATGATAACAAGACTTCTTTGAAATATCGACCTAATAAAATTCTTGAGGAAAATAAAAACGACATCTTACGAGTAGTAAACATTTAAATAAAACACTTTAACGGTTTAAAACGCGATATATATTACGCCTCCCCGTGTCCACGACTGTAAAGCATAAGAAACGTCGGGCCGTAGTTAAAATTATTTTCAAATAAGTTTAACTAATACATATCGCGTTTTACACCGTTATAGTGTTTTATTTAAACTTTATATTCTAGATATATATTTCAGAACACATGTTAAATACAGACAGACTAACAAGTTAATTCGATAGATATTTTAAATATGCTTTACACTGATTAATGAGTATTAAAAAAATAAGCATTGATTGAGTTTAATTAAATTTTGCCACTTCTGTAGCTAAAAGGCTCGTGAGGCTAGTGATCGTAGGATCGAATCCCAGGCAAACAAAAAATTGTTTCGGTCAGGCAGGTGCATAAGTCTGATTAACTACTTGCCTGTAAATAAAACTGATCAATGAAACGGACATAGAAATATGTTCGCCCCTTGTCCCACGAAAGGAAACGTGATTTTTTATTTTTATCCTATAAATATACTGATACGTAACACTTAGCCTATTTACTATACTGACGACGATGCAGCGAAACATTGCCTTCGAAGAAAAAATCGATAAATATTTACGATACTTGGAAAGACATTAAGATGGATATTTTATATCCAGGTCAATCATTCTGCTTAAAATAGGTTGCGTTCAAAATGGTGCTGACTTCGTGGACAAATTTAGCTATACTGTGTCGTATATACGATGATATGGTATGAAATAGTATGCTTTTGGATCAGTGTTAATTGTATTAATTTTAAAAGTGTAGTGTTAGTAGTAACTACGCTACTAGTAAATAGAGTGTAGAATACATAATAAAAAATTGAAAAAAATTTCGACTAGGGCATGACTTGAACCGGCTGTCGTAGGACACGGTAGCTCAATTGGTAGAGCAACAGCACGGAACGCTGACGATGCCTGTTCAAGTCCTGCCCGAGTTGAAACTTATTCAATTTATTTTCGAATTTTAAATTATACAGTGTCATCAAGTGAAAAATGTTAAAATTTTTAAATGAGAATACATCTTCTTCTAAATCATTTTTAATTTCTTGAATGATAAAAAAAAAACAATTACAATATTATTATTTTCTACTGTACTATGCCTCGAATGCATAATATCTAAAAAAATATATTTTTAGCTTATGGAATTCAGATATATACTGATTGAACCCGAAGCGTGATTTTACACTTCAAGGCGCTTTTCATGTGTCGATGGTGGCAAAACCCGGAGGGAATATATTTATTCCTACCACCCATTTAGCCACAATTTGAGAATGAAAGAAAAAAGAAGTAATTATAATTATCATTAGAAACATAAGTTAAAAAAAACTTTGTGTGTTGCAAGTAGAGAGAATGTTACATAAAAATTTTGTTTCATTTTATTTTCAAGAAAAAACTATTGGACTTCATGGGAGTCGAACCCTCAACCTATCAATTATTAGTCGTAAATTGATATTATTTAAGGCATTCCAGAAAGTGTTTGAAACTTATTATCCTATATTGGCCAGAGTATTGATATAGTATATATCACTTTGCCGTTATTACAAAATGCCACTCCAATTATCTATCCTAGTTCCAAATTAACTATATTAAAACCACATAAACCAACCGAGTTAGAAGCGGAAATTACGAAAACTGTAATACATTACGAGTAGAGTGTGGTTCACGGCGAATTCACAGATTTAAATTAAATAGCTAGTTGATTGTCACGAAGGCGTCGAAACTAATTATTAAATCTTCGAACTGACGTTTACTGTCTACTATAATATAAGGTTTTTACACTTCACGTACGTTAAACACTATCTGTAGTATACGCTATTAGTACACATTTAAATAAAACACTAACGGTTAAACGCGATATATATTAGTTAAGGTCTCCCAGTGACCACGGCTGCTGCAAAGTATCCGAAACGTCGGGCCGAAGTTAAAAATCATTTTCAAATAAGTTTAACTCGCGTTTTAAACCGTTAAAGTGTTTAATTTAAAAGGCACTATATAATTAAGAAATCGAAAATAAATTGAAAAAAAAAAATTCAATTTATTTTCTTTTCTCATTCTTAACTTAATTGCAATAAACATCTTAACTATAATTATTCCACATGGACAAAGTCCCGGGCACAGCTTGATTTATATAAGAATTGGGACACTGACAGAATTAACAGCCGTGACTACAGTCGCTCTAACAATTGAGCTACCGTGTCTCGTGTGTCATTGTTGAAATCTCTCAATGTAATATAATTATAGAAGTGAGTATTAAATTATACTCACAGAGACATACTGCCATCCGTTATTTACTCGTATCAAAAGGGCTTGTTCTTGAATGACGTATGCTAGAGTACCTCGAGGATTCTTTGCACCCAGCTGTTGACAAAGAGAATACACGCTCATTTCTAATATCTAAGATATTACGACACCAGTTTTAGTATATTCGTTTTCTTAAACACGCTTGAGAAATTTGTGGTTTAAAAATCGAAAATAAATTGAAAAATATTTCGACTCGGGCAGGACTTGAACCGGTATTGTCAGGACTCGGTAGATTTATTGGTTAGAGCAACAGCACGGAACGCTGACGATGGCGGCTCAACTCCTGCCCGTGTCGAATTTTTTTTATATTTTCGCTTTTTAACTTAATTTTGAAAGTTTTCAATTTCGACCATTATTATGAAAAAAATTCTTCGAGGTAAGTCGAACTTTCTGTACTGGTCGTGTAGTTGTATGAGAAACTATCGTGTTACAGGCAAACTATGTACGATCATATTTGTCGTGTTCTTTAAAAATGGAACGATCTTCTCCTCCGGAACATGGCAACCAAAGAGGTAACTTATCAAAGGTTAAAATAAAATTTCGAACTGGCCTACTACCTTTAAGAAAAAAAAAACCATTGGCGCGTAAAAATACGTAGTGATATTAGTTGTTTGTCGACTTCGTCTTTGGTTTTCAAGAGCCTGCTGCAGTAATGTATAACATCTAAATATAGAAATGACTATGTTAATTTAGTCTAAACGTAAAAATAATTCTTCCTTTTTATCTCTGAATGTCCAGTCCGCTTTTCTTTTTCATACCTCATTTAACGTGTTATTTAATTAGAGGACATTTTTAAAGTATTATAAAACTCTACCCCTTTCATATTTGCCGTTTCGTAGCGGTTACACGCCTTCTGGTAACAAGCTCATTACTGGATGTTTATTATGTTATTTCATTAACAGCTTTACTCGCGAATGAGACAAAAGTTAAATGTCACTTTAAAATTTATATTCATAGCGTACTTAGCCAAGTTCCTAAAATATATATTTTAGGATTTCAGTTTAATAAATCAAGTTATTGGCGCGCAAAGAAATTGTATATTTTATTTGTAACTATTGAAGACTGCTAGAAATAGTTTTACTGTGTGTGTGAAATCCCGTTTCCCCCTCGTGGGGCATGGGGCAAACACAAGTAGTTGATCAGACTTCTGTGCTCTGCCCGACCGAAACAATTTTATGTTTCCCTGGGATTTGAACCCAGGGCCTCTCGCGCTTAACGAATGTTAGGCAATACGTTTAACTATTTGGCTACAGAGGCGGTCATAGTTTTACTACGCAGTGCTTTTAGTAGACAATAAATCATTTAGTTTAATTCATATTATCGTAAAAACCGTGACATTTATACAGAAGTCTCTGTCTGTACTGTAAATAAAAACCACAGAATTTTAAAGTATATTTAAGTATAGGAATATTGCGGAACACAACTTATTATGTATTTAGTTATATAATATTATATTTGAAACTCTTTTTACAGTATGTTATTGTAAATGGTGTTGTTTTTGAATAAACATGTATTAAACAATTTGAAATGTAAACTGTGTTAGTAAATTTATTTTTACGATTTCCCACGTCAGAGAAACTATACAACTTACACTACGTACTACAGTACATACTTACTTTTAGTAGCGAATCTGTGGTTTTATATAAAACAGTTCCAATAATTGTTCTACCATCTTCCTCGTCGTCAAAGTCACCATTTTCATTGAGTGAATCTAGTGGCTCAGCAAAATCTAAAGAAAACACAAATAACAATTCTCACTTTGTGGTTATGGATTAGAATTATCTAGCTTAGCCGTTCTAGATTTGAATTGCTTTAAAATATTAAACTTTAGGTCGAGCAAAGCACTAATTAACTACTCGTTATTAACATTTCAGTGCCTTAGTAGTAATAAATGAAACAATATAAAAAAAGCACATATTGATATTTAAAACGAGATACATTCTTGTATATTGAAAAGGGCGATTTTAGGAATCTAATACTACAATTTGAAAAAACTATAGTTACTTACGGTATGATCCCTGACGGTACTGCATCAAATGATTTAAATTTTTTAATATTTGAAGCGCGTCGCGGGGTTTTCCTATTAAAAGAAAACAAAAAGACAGTTAGCTGGAATTCTCGTTATTTTTATACAGTGCTGTCTGTAGCTTACGCGAATAGCACACATTTAAATAAACCACTTAAATGGTTTAAACGCGATATATATAAGTTAAACTTATTTGGAAATTATTTTAACTACAGTTTTGGATGCTTTGCAGCCGTGGTTACATACTTCGAATACGTTTAACTAATATATATCTCGTTTTAAACCGTTAAGGTACGGTGTTAATCAAAGGTCATTCACCCCGATCTAAGGAAAAATACATAGCTGAATAATGCATTTCACTAATGACGCAATATACAAAGTGTGTGAACTCAACATTATGTAATGTTATTAAGACGTTGAAGTAAAAGAAAATAAAGCGGTTACGACGCACGTACCTACGCGTTATTAACGCTACGACTACGTGCTACGCTCTACGTTATTCGCTACGATGCGGACACGTTATCGGGGAGTGTAGGACGTGGAAACGTTTTTAGTTGCTATGTTGTTTGATATTTTGTCACTGTAACTATACATGCCTTTTTAAATTATATAGTTTAGTTAAAAAATAATTAATATAAAAATAAAGTCGACGATAATAATTATAACAATTACATACTATAATATCTTAAATAAATAAACAGTTTAGAAAGTAGAAACGAATATTTCTGCTCGTGAAATTCCCTCTTGTTTGTGCAACGAACTACAAGATGGGATCGACATTTTCACGTGCTGCTTGAAAAAACATCAGTCTAGAGGTATGTTGGAAAGTTATGGATGAAAAGTAATTATTTAATGATTCCATCGCATTATGTCGTACATTCTGTAGTGGTAGAATAAGTTTATAAATAAATAAATTTTGATGACAAAAAGTTTTTCTTCACCTGAGGCCGTTTCAAGGCGATTTATTCCAGGACTGTCTGTCAAAGTATCCAACGGGAGGTCTGGATTACTTGTTCCCGGTGGCCCAGGTGGACCAGGCGGTCCAGGTACAGGAATATACTGCACGTTGGAGGTCGTCCCTGGGGGCCCGGGTGGTCCTCGGGGCCCATCTCTCCCGGGGGTACCCGGAGTTCCATCTAGTCCCCGGTCGCCCTTATCGCCTTTTATCTTAGTAAAGGAATGAAAAATAAACCATAACTAAATTAAAATTGGTATATAAGAATCTACGACAAACATTTAAATATTTCTTTTGATCTTAGAAAACTTGTTATTGACTTTTCAAGATGATGTTTTATTAACACAGCTATTTAGAAAGATTAGTTGAGCTCGATGGGCAGAAATGTCGCATTGAATTATTAAAATCCTAAATACTGTCTGTAATTTACGCAAGTAGTATACATTTAAATAAAATACTTTAACGGTTTAAAACACTATATATAACTGCTGCAATGCATTTGCAACTTCGAGCCGTAGTTAAAATAATTTTGCAAATGGGTTAACTAATATATGTCGCGTTTTGCACCGTTAAAGTGTTTTATTTAAACGTCAAATCCCAATTATAGCCCGTCTGTGAGCCAGAAATAATTCGCTCAATACTGACAATAAAAATGTGAGGCCCCCACTAAAAAGGCGATAATTAATGGAGTAGGGTAATTTATTCGTTTCCGCTCAATAACCGTGTTTGAATTTCAGATTTACCTTTTCAAGGTCCGCTAAAGCGATTCCCGGATCCCCTTTTTCACCCTTAGGCCCCTGCGCGCCCGGCGGCCCGGCGATTCCAGGTGGACCCTATTAAATACGATTTTATATGACTTAGGATTTACGAGGCATAGTTGAAAATAAGTGCTTAAATTAATGGATTGCGATTCGATTACGGATTCAAGAATCGATTAGGGTCGTAATCCCATTTTAAGCTTGACAGTTAACACTTTGTTTTGATTCAAAAGCTTACATTCTGTTTTTCTGTTCTTATCTTCACGTCAGAAGGACCAAACCTACAAATTGAAGGCATAAAAGAAGTTTTTGTTAGATACTGTCTATAGTTTACGCGAGTGGTACACATTTAAATAAAACACTTTAACGGTTTAAAACGCGATATATTAGTTAAACTTATTTGAAAATGATGTTTAACTTCGGCCCGATGTTTCGGATGCTCCCCGTGACCACGGCTGCTGCAAAGCATCCGAAACGTCGGGCCGAAGTTAAAAATCATTTTCAAATAAGTTTAACTAATATATCGCGTTTTAAACCGTTAAAGTGTTTTATTTTAAAAACATTTTGTTAGTTTTGACGAGCTCGTTGGTGTAAAGGTACCGCTCGTAATCAACGGGTCGTGGGTTCGGTCCGGCTCCAAGATTTTTCTAATCAATTTCTATTTTTTTTTTAAATACATTTCGAAATTCTGTCCGAGTCACAAACCATCGTCCAAAGTTATTATATATTATATATAGGTGTTGATGTTAGGTATTTTACCTAACATCAAGTAAACTTTATTCTTGTCAGTCCTTCTCCTATCATTAAAAAAAGATTTGTAACTAACTTCACTATTGCTTTTGCACTGCAATTTGCTATATGTAAAAATAATTTTGGATTTCTTATGCAATTAAAAAAATCCACTTACCGTCCACCCTGGCAGACCAATATCCCCAGATACTCCATTAGTTCCAGGAATGCCTGGAGGGCCAGGGAGGCCTGGAGCTCCCCTGGGTCCTGGTGGACCTGGATGGCCCCTTTTTCCTCTAGGCCCTGGTTCGCCTTTATCACCCTGATAAGAAAACTGACTTCTCTGTCATATGTATGAGTATGAGAAAAGTATAATACTAAAGCATCCTGGTTTAGTGGGGTACGCTTTTGATGCGTCTGACTTGTCGGGTCCAAGGTTCAAATCTCAAATAGGAATAAATTGTTTCACTTACTAATTTCTCAGAAGTTTACCCTTGGTCATCAAAGATAGTTTTTAAAAGAAAGTTTCTATTTAAATAAAACGCTAACGATGGAGGGTGTCTCTAATGTCAAAGTAAAACTGCTACGCTAGCGCCATCTCTTCCGTTTTTCCAAAAACCAACTACTACGAATTTCAGATAAGTTTAAATAATATATTTCGCATTATAAACCGTTAAAACGTTTTTTTTAAGTTAATTACTAACCACGTGTTTTGTTTGAGGTTTTCTAAAGGCTTATTTATTTATTTACCTTAGTCATAACAACAGCTTCGTCTCTGGAAATTGCTACAGGACCTGGCGGACCAGCGTCTCCCTTGTCCCCCTTAGGTCCCATTAGTCCTGCAGCGCCCTGAGTACCAGGTAACCCAGAAGGTCCTATATCCCCACGTTCACCAGGCTTTCCATCATTGCCAGGGAATCCTTGCGGACCCTCGATGCCTCGAGTGCCCTTTTCACCCTATTAATTTTAAAACATAATTCAAAGTTCTCGCGAACTCGCCCAGGTCTTATTACAAAAGGCCTGTTATAATTAAAGTTTAAACGATTTTAAATTTCATAAATATTTCCACGAATTCCTTGAAACGTTTAAAATAAAAATAACTTTAGAGAACTTTATACTTCGGCTCCTAATCACCTTTATAGCTTAATTTCTCTTATTTCTCGCATTTTCACTAGAGATTACTTACTCTTTTTTTTTTTTTCGCTAAGGCTATTTTATTTATTATAACGGAGTTTTACAAAAAAGTATATACTAGAATGTTCTTTTTTTGGCTTTTAGCTTCACATTTAGATATCTACAGACAGATACTGAAACGTGAAATTTCTAAATTGTTGCAGCTACTTAACATTTCGCGACGCAGTCTAACTTGCTTCAGTAATAATAGATATTTTAGAAACATTACCTACTGGGAATCAAACCCACGATCTGTGAGTTTTACTACTATTCAATCAAAGATCTCGTCAAAAAAGTATTAAAATATTAAATACTATTAGTTGTTCTAAATTTGAATTTTATGATAATAATATCTACCTACTAAGAATGAAAAACATTTGGGAAATATTATATGCTACAAATTTTACTTACGTAGATCTTTTAACAAAACAAAAGCAGGGCTAAGTAACATCTGGTTCATAATTACCTTTTCGCCTCTTTCGCCCTTATCGCCCTTGAGCTTAGCGATGTCTCGTGGCCCTGCATATACAACACATTTATATTCCGTTTACGCTATGTAAAAGTCATAAACAAGAAGTTATTAGTACGGTAACGAAATGGATTCGGGGAATTGGGAGCACCGAGCGTTTACAACCTCTTAGATGGCTGCGGTTTTACGTCAGGTTCAATACTCATGAATATTGAATCGCTTTGAATAATTGTAGATTGTTAATAATATTAGCCGTAGCTAATTCTATTATATGGGGGAAATGGGTTGTTTGATTATCTGTGATCTATGGATGCGACGTTTCAGTGAATATTAAAGATTTTCGTCCTTCATTTCGTTACACTTGAGCTATATAAATCAAAATCTATATTTGAAAACATTTACGACACAGGCAGGCCTTGAACTGACATTCACGGCGTATTGTTTTTTTTTATATAGTGCCATCATACGCAATAACAGGTGAAAAATGTTAAAGTATTTATACACTCGAGCTGTTATATTTTATCCACATTATTGTGTATATCATAAAATAATATATAGTAAAACTATACAGTATCTACTATCAATATAGACTTAGATTTAAAAAATATAATATACATAAAGAATATGTAAAAATAAACCAATAAAAACTATTAAGCTACAAAATATTCAATAATACTTGTAAAATCAAGAAGTTAAAAAGAGATATATTAATGATTTTCTTATTATAGAGTCAACAATAAAAGACTCTAGCATCAGTGCGGATTAAACGAGTCGTGGGTTCGAATCCCGCCTGCGTCATCGAATTTTTCCAATTTTTATTATGCATATGCAATGACGTGTCAAAAGAAAAATGTCAAAATATGTGAGCCTATTATAATCATTATAAAAGAGAAAGGATTGAAGTTTGTCACATACTCGTTCGATTTTCTTTTACCCTACTCAGTCAGCGAGCTTAATTATGTACGAACACGTGTTAGTGAGTTAAATATTTGACATTGAGGAAACTGAACTTTCGAAACTAGTTGAGAAATTTTACTCCAAGCCATTACGGGAAACACTAGCAATCAAAACTTTCGCGTCTCCTTGAAAACTTTCAAAAGATTTCCCGGCTTCAGATTTTATATTTGAAACAGTGACATTATTTTTCCGGTCACGAGATGTCATAAATGTAGTTTCCTTTTTAAGTTAGAAGCTTAGGCGAGGAAAAATAATTGCAACGGCTTTAATAAACATATCAATTCGTTTAGACAGTAAAAAACAAAAAAGTGAATATATATAATTGTATGAAATATAAAATAACACAGGTATAGAAAAAATAGATGATAAGAGTAACAAGGATATATTTTTTATGATAGAGGGGGTCAGACAAACATAATGTTCACTTTATAGAAGATGAAATACCCCAGACACATAACATCTAAACTAGATGTGCTATCGACCTATTTGCTTTGACATTCGGTAAACCACAGACTGAATACGAAATACTATTTACGTGCCGGCTCTTATATCCGGGTATGGTGGTTCGTAACCCGGACGGAATTTCGATATTCAGTCCACTTAATATTCAGATTTTCAGAAGTCCAACATGTTTCAGAAAAGTTGATTAGAAGCACATTGGACCCACTGGGGTTGAACTCACATTGATTCCACCATTCATCATCCTACTGTTTAATTTGAATGAGATTTGTGGGAAGATTTCCTTGTAACTGCTTAGTTAAGCCAAGCTACTTCAAACGAGCCGCTTTTTATAATCGCATTAATGTGTTCTAATTAATTAATAACTAATCCACATTACAATGGGCGGAGATCTCGCGGGACATTTGCTTTTATACAATAGCAGTTTGCATAATGCAATCCACAGTAATTATAATTAACATAATAGATTAGATTTGATACAGGTATGTCGTGTCAAGCGTGTTACTAAGATAGTGCTAAGTAAAGTACTAAAATGCTCAACAGAAGATAAAGCAATTAGCCCATCTACAATTAGTCTAAAGTTATCTTAAAACCTTATTTTTACTTTGTAAAGTCGTATAAACATAACTTTTTTTTAAGATAATGTACATTTTGTTTTTGTTTACTCCTTACCTATGATTATATTTTTTTAATGTAAAGGGCAGCAAAATATTATTTTTGTGTAATATATATTTTTGTAGTCATTGTTACTTAAGTTAGAAATACTAACGTATTAGTTTTAGTTATTTATGAACTTAAAGTAATGTTTTGCGAATTAAAATAAATAAATATACTCTACCTAATACAGGTAGTTAATATAACACTATACTAGTGAATACTTTTAAAACATATTAATATAGATAGTACCAATATATAAAATGTATCACAAAAAATCAACTTACCTATGCGAGCGAGATCTCCTAATACTGAATTATCTGAAACTGCAGTTATCGCCGGCCCTGGAGGGCCCGGGAGACCGCGACCACCTGGAAGTATTGTTCTCATAAATAAAATTGAAACAAAGAACATTATAAAATAAATTAGTACGATCCATCAAATAAAGCAAGAAAATAAGAACTTTATATTGCCATAAAGAAAGAAATATCCCAAACAATGGAAAATCTTTGAAGCTAAAATAAAACAAGCGGCACAATTGAAGATATAAAACGACGTATAACAATAAATAATTCGTAGGTACTCTTACGGAATTCTATCTCGGGGGTCCGGTAGGGGAATAAAGATTTTCCGAATCGTTTGCAATAAAGCCCTAAAATCCTGCGAACGCGTTTCGCGCGCATAAATAAAAGGCATAGTGAAACATAAAATTTGATGGTTGAGTTAGTTTGTTACCTTTCTCGCCTTTTTCTGATGGGCGCCCGTGGGGGCCTGGAAGACCCGGCAGCCCGTCTTTACCGGGTTGGCCGCGCTCGCCCTTCGCGCCGTGCGGGCCTCTCGGACCCGTGAAACCCTATAACGCCGTAATAACGAATAACGCAGTTATAGTGTTATAACACAGTTATAATCTCCGCGCTCCTCGCTCCTACTAACATAATGTAAGTTTACGAGGGTCAAATCGTCCGTTATTGCATTTGAGCGAAGTTTATTTCCGGAATTCGTGCGTGAATTTGACTTTGTATGAATTTCTATAAATGGAACGTTGGTTCTGACCGTTTCTCTTGATATATGGAGGAACATATAAGATTTGTGCTTTCATATCCTCCCATATAGGAGGTATTTTTGTTCATTTTATTAAAATACATTTATTAAGTGTTGAAATATTAGCGAAATATGTATATGTAAAAGTGAAATCCCGTTTCCCCTTCGTGGGACATGGGGCGAAGACATTTCTGTGTCCGTTTCACTGATCCGTCCTTTTAACGGACAAGTAGTTAATCAGACTTCTGTGCCCTGCCCGACCGAACAATTTTTTGTTTCCCTGCGATTCGAACCCAGGACCTCTCGCGCTTAACGCAATGATAGGCAATACGTTTAACTATTTGGCTACAGAGGCGCTCGTATGTGGAAAGGAATTTAAATTTCTCGCGAATCTCAAGACTTTACATACGACTATGACTGACGTAACATCAAAACATGAAAAAGATGGCAGTCTCAACGTGTTAAATTTACAATGATGTTATTTGAAAATTAAGATAATCGGTTGATTATCATATTAATTTAATAATACTAAGGTTGCCGAAATAACACAATTGGATGTTCGTTTCAGATTATTCTTTTAATATGAAGTTATTAATTTAAGTTACGAATCTCCTTATATATATAACATAAATAGTAGAGAGAGAATGCTACTATATAGTAGCATTCTCTCTCTACAGAGCAAATATATATATATTTGCTCTGTCAGCCACTAATATCTTTACAGAACTTTCAATTAACTCAACTAGTCAACGTATTAAAAGAGATCAAAGATTCTAGGCAAAATTGGACGGATGTTTGTACTTTAACAAAGTAAAGGACGTAGGATTCGAACTTAATTAACTTGCGGTGCGTTGGTCGATTACTAGTGAAAGAGATTCTAATAATAGCTGCGTATAGCGATGTCTTTCTAAATACTGTATGTAGTTTACGCGTAGTACACATTTAAATAAAACACTTTAACGGTTTAAAATGCGATGTATATTAGTTAAACTTATTTGAAAGTTATTTTAACTACTTACAGCCGGCTGCTGCAAACCATCCGAATCGCCAGGCCGCAGTTAAAATTTGCAAATAAGTTTAACTTATATATATCGCGTTTGAAACCGTTAAAGTGTTTTATTTATATAAATCTATTTAGATTGAAAGAATTCGAAGACCGCGAAGTTACTATGTACTACCATAATCATCTATCATCGAATTTCTTAAATTAATTGATATAATATTTATCTCTCGCGCAACATATTTTCGACCTTAACAATTGCGTATTTTTAACTCTAATAATAAAATGTTACATATTCATATATATATATGACTTGACGGGCACATTGGTCAAATGGTAAGAATATGTTGGATTTTCGAATATTCAAAGCCAAAATAGGCCGATAGCGCATCTTACTGCGATCTTATATGGATAAGGTATTTAACCTCCCATCAAGAGAACACCACGCTTATCTGTTCTCCTCTATCATTATAAAAAGTAATACGTAAATACATCTAGCGGAATGAATATTTCACTCTTAACAATTACATATTTTTATCTAAAGCGTGTAAGTATATTAGCATTTACATATATCATTTAATATATGATTACATACGTTGTTGATACGATGCTATATGTATAATAAAACGCTATCAAAAAGTTACTATTTACCATAATTAATAAAAATAAAAGTAAATAAAACTCAAATGAACACGAGTCTTCTAGACTTGATCATTAATTTCATGTAAAGCGTCGCACGGTGTCGTGGTGATGAATTGCTTACCCGTTCCCCTTTGTCGCCTTTGGAGCCGTGTAAGCCCTTCTCCCCTTTATTGCCCGTGTAGCCCCTTTCGCCCGGCGGCCCCGCGAGACCCATCGGACCCCGATCTCCTGGCGGCCCAGCCAGACCCCTGTCCGTCCCGTATAATCCGGTTGATTCCTGTGTCAGAATAGTGAGTACTAGCGCGTTAGGTGTTATGAGAGGTTAGGAAACCCGACATTAGTTTGTGTCAAACCAAACGTATACGCCTGGAATATTTCGATGCTTGTTCGTAAATAGACTGTATACTTTGATGGATTTTCTGAAACATCTTTGACTTCTTTTGAAAATCCGGATGTTTAATAGGTGGTAAAAATATCGAATATCGATACAAACGATAATTTTACAATAAACAATGCTTCTGAAGCATGTTGGACTTCGTCGGGAAATCTGGATATTAAATGGATATTAGGAATATCAAAATTCCAGAAAAGTCAGGTTACGGACCACCGCAAAAGAAAAAAACGTTAAGTTTAATCGCATTTCTTTCGTCTATGGATTTCAGAATATCCACAGATAAAATACAAATCGTCTGGTTCATCTTGTTGAGATTTTATATAGCTGGGAAATAATTGAGCTACCGTGTTCTACACGTCATTGTCTAATGTCGCCTCTCGCGATGTTATTTCCACCTTAACACTTATGTGTCGTTATGTACTTATAGTATCACCTCTTACATTTTACGTATTATTATTACAAAAATTTAAATTACCAAATACAGTAATACCATGAGAAATAAGCGCTTCTAATGCCGCCTCTCAAAACGCTATTTCAACTCAAAGCGGGTAGAAATTACATGGATCTCAAAAATGAAATAATTTTCTTTACACGACCGGAGCTGAGCTCTCTCGAAGTTTGTTACGAAGATTCGACCATGAATTATTCATAGGGCGTTATTCATATCCATTTTGTTTGATTTCTAAGCTAAGAAATATAATGTTCAATTATTTTGAGGGACCATTTTATTGGAGGGCAGGCTGATTTTTGAGATTTGATTACATCTAGATTTTAGAAACGGGATTTATGATTGGGTTAGTCTTTTTTATTTGTAATTTATTTGAACGCAATAACTATAATAATATTGTGGTTATTTAAAAAAATATTATTTTAATACTGTCTAAAGTTTACGCGAGTAGTACACATTTAAATAAAACACTTTAACGGTTTAAAACGCGATATATTAGTTAAACTTACTTGAAAATTATTTTTAACTTCGCATTTGCCTTTTGCATAATATATAGCGTTTTAAACCGTTAAAATGTTTTATTTGAGTTAATAATATTTTTCTTTTTTGTAAAATTTAGTCTTCACTCTGTTTGTGTATCTATAACTTTTCATGCTGTATCTGTCTATAACTGTTTCACATAATTTCGTATTTTTCTCCAATTTAATGTTAAGTTACATCATGTAGGGAATTGTGATAAAACGTCGACTGTCTTTAAATTAACAAATACTTAGCTGATGATGGACCTAAGATACTAGAACTAGATTCATTCGAGTCCAAATCAAAACAAAAGATGTGTACCGTAAATCCCGTCGCGAGACCCGGTGACCCCGGTGGTCCAGGTGGACCCTGAACGCCAGGTGTTCCATCACTTCCAGGCTCCCCCTTCGGCCCTGGTTGCCCCTCAACTCCGGGTGTTCCGGCATCACCCCGTTCCCCTCTATCACCTTTAGCCCCGAGGGGACCTGGTGGACCTTGCTCACCTGTTTGACCCTAAAACAATGTTGATCTAAAAAATTTGCAGTTAGTATTTATAAAAATTTACTCGACCAACATTCAGTAGCTGGATGGATAAATAATAACATAAAAGACAAAAACTGCCTAAGAGACACTTATTGGATTCAAAATTAAAAAAAAACTTAGACTAACTAAATTAACTTAGCTTCTATCTATACAAATTAACTTACAGTTTTACCAGGTGCTCCAGTCGTGCCATCGGCTCCTGTAGGTCCTTGAGGACCAGGGGGGCTTCGGATGTTAGGCATTGATGCCAGCATAACCGATATATCATTTATGCTGCATTTGCACTGTGGTGATACTTGCAGCTGTCAAAAAAATATTTGCTTTATGAAGTTTCGCTATTCGTTACGTTAATTTGTAATAATTTACAGTACATGGATATTTTAGTTAACTATTTTAATTGTTAAGTGTATTTCTTTACGTTCCTTCTTTACCGTGTTCGTATCTATCTATACTCTATACTAGTGTAGAAAACTGAAGAGTTTGTTCGTTTGAACGTGCTCATCTCAGGAACTACTGGGTCGAATTGAAAATTTCCTTTTGTCTTGGTTAGAGTAATTATCGAGTACGGTTAGAGGCTATAATCGTGGTGTGACTAAAAGGATCGAAGAAACAGCGGAAAACGTGGAAAAAAGAGGAAAATTCGAAAACAGTTCGAGATATCAAAAAATATATGAGAAAGAATCATTTCTCTTTAAATAATGTAAAAAAGAATGTACGCGACACTATATTGTGTCTATTTTTTAAAATTAACTTGCAAGAACAACAGGACTTGACCGACGTCGTGGCTTTAATCTATAAACATGAAGTCGAAACGCCCTAAATAACTATTCTACGCGGACGAAGTCGCTGACAAAGCTTGTACCTAATAGTAAACAAGTGTAGGCAAATATCAAATCACGGTATGTCCACCATAAACGAAACTTGGGAAATGAGAGAAATGTGTTTTTAGCTACTGATTACTGTATTTCATGGAAATTTCAGCAATTGGGGATTTATATAGGCGTTAGTGAGTATAAGGAATATATAAAAATAAAGTTTTAATAAGATATTATGCTTTAAAACCATGTTAAAGTTTGGACATATCGGTGTTTGATTGAAACTAAAAGCATTATATCGGAGTTTGAAAAATACCACTATGGACGTAACGGGTATTGAAAAATAGCTACAGGACTTACTTGGTTTTGACAAATCCTATATTAATCCCGTAATTAGGGTTGCTTCATCATAATATTTTACTAAACCGTAAAATAAAACACAGATTTTTTTATTACCATGTAGTAGTTTAATTTAGTAGATTAATAAAACAAAATCTAAGATCTCGTCCATGATATAGTCTTCGGAATTATTTATTATGTCTTCTTCCCTGTCACCAACTAGTTCTGTTACTTTGCAAGATATTTGTATAATATTTCAACTGAGGGATGTGATACCAGTCAGTGCCAAAATGTTTATGAAATATTTTTTTTATATCTTCTAATTTTATAGAAGGAACTATGTCAATCATTTGAGTATGAATATTGATCATACTTTTTCCTTTTTCTAATAACGAAGCACTATTTCGTTTATACGTTCGTATTCGATAATACGTTTACAATATTTACTTATCTCAAAATGGAAAGAACCTTTTAAATGATACACACACACATACATACATTTTAATAGAAAAAAAATATATATAAATTCAAATGTTTAATTCTTAACATTTGTACAACCCTGGTTTTTAAAACGTTAACGGTTGCAACAAACGCACTATTACGTTAGGATTTGCTTTACTTTTTAGCCTTCTTTTCGACATTATTCTTCTTAACATTTGACACATACATCTTCTTTGCTTTTTCAGGATTCAGCACACAAATTCTTACATTGTTATCATGCATTTTCCCCAAACAATCTAATAAAATAGACGACAACGAAGTGTAAGTTCTCACAACAATCTTCTAACTAACAGCCATCTTGGACGCTATAATTTGCTGTGATTGGTCAATGTGGACTTACTTGAGTTTGATTTTAACTTATCTGTAGACATACCGGAGTTTGAAATAAATCGTCGATTTTAACCTTCGTTTTAGTGAGTTTTTTGGGGACTTACCGTGATTTGGAATAAAGTATCATAAAAACAAGTAAATTTCAAATTTAGCGCCATTCATAGTTCAGTTTCGACTATGGGTGTGACTTATCGGGGTTTGATATTTACCTACACACAAACACTACTGTTATCAAAGTGTAATAACAAAATTTAGGTTAGCCTGCAGGCTAACACGGAAAGTTTAATCCAAGAATAAATAGATGTACGTAAATACATACATTGGTATTAGGTCGGTCCGGTTTCCCCGCTTCGCCGGAAGGTCCCAAATCCCCGTCCACGCTTTCGGCTAATCTCTGAACAATACAAAGTTTTCAGAGCAATATTATCATCTTTTCTATACATACGGGACAAGAATACTGGTCTCTTGAGAATTTATCGAGCCAAAATCCGGTTTTGTTTTGTTTAGATTGCTTAATAAGTGTTCTAAATTCAAATTGCATACCCCTTATTTGTTATGTAGTATCTGTAGTTAATACACATTTAAATAAAACACTTTAACGGTTTAAAACGCGATACATATTAGTTCATTTTATTGATAATTATTTCAGTACAGTCCGACGTTTTAGATACTTTGCAACGGTGGTTGCAGGATTTTTAACTAGAAATCAACTTTTTGTTATTTTACAGTAGCCTGTGTCACGATGTGATCCTATTTTGAACCGTTAAAAATATTTTATTTAAATAACGAATCGTTTTTTATTGGTATAATAATCCAAAAATACTTACAGTGTCTCCCTTTTCTCCTTTGTGCACAACTGACAAAATACATTTTAATTATAAAAAACTGTTGAATACATTATGTAAGCCTTTCACGGCCACCGTTCAGCATATTCGTTTTGTGCTGTTCGGCCGTCGTGAACGAGAAGAGAGAAGAATTATGATAACTCTTCGAGCAATCGAGGAGGTAACATCTCCTGATGACACCGTCCGCGCGTGATGGCGAAACGTCGAGAACCTTTTCTCGCTCACGTCGGCCGAACAGCCCGAAAGACAATAATTACTGTTTGAATTTTCATTCTTATTTTTAATTTAATGTCTCTGTTGACAGTCTGGTAAAAACGCAGTATGCTACTACTACTTCCAATTCGAAATTCAAATTCAAAATTGTATAGTACCAATTTTGAATTTCGAATTGGAAAATTTTACAGATATAAAAGCGTGCTCGTTAAAAGTGATCGCTTAAATATTTCAGTTGTATAGTGAATGGTACTCACACGGCGAGGGGTGCGACACGACGGGTAATCGGTTTTCATCCGGATTCACCTGGAACAAAATAGCATAAAAGTACTATTAAGCGCTGTTCATGAACATTTTCGTTCCGCTTTTGTTTATTGCGGCCATAGCGGTAGATCGGGATGGATTTGAGATGATGACGAGTATTTTCAATTAATTACTCTGCTGCCGTGTAAAAGTATGGTGCATTCGAGTTTGAAGCGTGTTCTTCGTGGATTAACGAATATATTTTTTTAATTTAATCCATATTTTCCTCAAAAATACTAATAAATAAAGCTGAGGAGTTTGTTTGTTTGAACGCGGTAATCTCAGGAACCACGGGTTTGAATTGAAAAATTCTAACTTGTTGGTTAGAGAATTTATCGAGGTAGGTTATAAAACATCGTCTTGTAATAGGAGCGAAGAAACAGCGGGAAAGTCGAAAAAACGGTAAAAAAACATTCATCCTTGTACATTTCCATAGCGTACGCTGCGTAGATACTCAAAGATACTCAAAAAATTTGGATTATACATATGAAACAGTTGAACATCAGAACACGGTCTTCACTTATTACTTGTTCAATAAAGCTAAACGAACATAAACTAATTATAAAAGCGAAATCATTTTATTTAAACGGCTTATCACTCAAATTAATATTAGGAAAATTGTTGGAGAATTATTTCCTTGCTCTTTACGCCAAGCTGTGAGTTATAGCCTAAAGCATACGCCGCGAAATCAGGACATTTCCCGAGGGATAAAATTTAAGAATGTCAACGTAAGTAATGTCGCATATAATAACGACTTATTATTTATAAGGTCGGTGTCTTTGTATATCATTTGGTATAACCTTCATTAATTATTTATTATTAATATTAGGGTAGGATCTATCAATCCAGCCGGAGTCTTGATTATAATTAATTATTACACATTGTTGGGATCTAGAACATATTTCGAGTTATATAAGATTGATCGTAACTGTAATTCAGTGGTAACAACGTTTATATGTATATAATATATATAACTAGCTGTGCGGGCAAAGTCGCGGCTTTGCCCGCCAAGAATAGTTATTTTGGTTTATCAAAATTATTTTTTTCCAACCAATAGTTTATCAAAATAATTCTTATAGTCTGTGTAACATTAGTTGTTAAAAACAATTCTAAACATTTAAAATTATTAATTACTTATTACTTTGTGATTTATATGTAAGTAAAATGTTTCTATATTTTTTATTTAATCTTTTATACAAATTTATGCATACCATTTGTTGTTTACGCGAATAGTAAGTACACTTTAAAAAACCATTTAACGGGTTAAAACGCGATATATATATATATATATAGTTTAAATTAGTAACATTAATAAAAAAAGATTAAAAGGAACCCAAGTGTTTCATAACTTGAGACCGTCCTCCCTATCGAAAAAAGTTAACTGTCAAATAAGTTAACCTAATATGATGGGAGGTGTGTGGGCGCACGTCACTATCCTTCGTGGATTCGAACGAAATAAGGCTTCCAATATGTTAATAATTTTATTGCTATTACAATTTGGTTATAATTGAATAAAGCTAATCACACACTACGCGGATGCAAGCGGATCACTAATTACATGACAATCTTGGCTTGACGTTACGTTATTCAGTCTCCGACAAATATATATCGCGTTTCAAACCGTTAAAGTGAAGTTATACATTCTAAAATAAATGTTAACTTTTGTACTCTTGTCTAAATGGTTGGTTTTAACATCGCATAAAATATTTAAGTGAAAAAATGACAGAATATTACATTAATCATAATGGACCTCTCGAAAGCATCAAATTATCGTGGACAGTGACCGGGTCACTAATGAGCGCATTTCGTGATACAAAACAGTCAATTCTGTCGGTGTAATTCGTTCTATAACGAAGATAACTCAGAGAAATTTGTTTTGTGGTCATCTATCGCGGTTCATCTACTAAATTGCTTTAATTCGTCATTTGTACAAAATGGATTCACCGAATTTAATGGGCGAAAGCGATGAGACAGTGAATTAAACTTCTATACATGGATTTTTGAAAAACATAAAAAGGGTTGCCTGGGAGAGATTAATAACGTTACACTCCATAGCTTATAGATACTTTTTGGTTCTGTGTAATTGTTTGTGTTTTCTAATAAAGAATAAATAAATAAATGTACTAATGTTTAACAACTATATAGTTTTATTTTACATATGTATCTAAATAATAGTGGAAAGTGATCTCTTAAAAGATTGTGTTATTAATACTTAGAAATCCACAGGCTTAAAGCAAACGGGATTACAAGCTCTTCCATCTGTGGAAGGTCGCTCGTGACTCGGACGGCATCGATATTCCTACAACCCATTTTAAAGACGAAAATCTTATAGAAAATATAGAATTATATTTTTGTGAAACAATTGTGGACTTAGTGGGAAATGAAACCACGACCAGTTAGGCCCATTAGGCCAACGAACAATCAATACGTATAATTCAACTTAGTGTTGCAACTTTATTCGTTTGTGCACTTATGGGACAAATTTGCTTTTATTTTTATATAATATATAAAATTCTCGTGTCACAGTTTTCGTTGCCATACTCCTCCGAAACGGCTTGACCGATTTTGATGTTTTTTTGCGCTTATCCGGTATCTATAAGAATCGGCCAACACGTATTTTTCATCCCCCTAAATGTTAGGGGTGGTCCACCCATAATTTGTATTTTATTTTTTAAACAAAATTTTTAATTTCTATTTTTTTATGATACAACATGCAAAAATACATACAATCCTCAATTTTCACCCTTCTACGATCAATCCTTATTTTTTAATAACCATTTTAGTAAAATAATTTATATGGCAAAACAACGTTTGCCGAGTCAGCTAGGTTTTATATAAAAGTACATTAATAAATTAGACATTAGACATTCTTTGACAAACAAAAATTGGTATTTACGTTCGCGTGATAAATTATTATTTGTTTTAAAATATCCCCACGTAATTCAATACAAGGCTCGTTGAAAGAAACAAGTTACAATCTAAAATAGCTAATGTAATAAATACACAATTTCTGGAAATAGAATATTCCTTAAAACGCCTTCCGTTACGTTTCAACACTGACAGAAGATTAATGAACTAAGACATGCGATATTAGAGAAAGAAAAAATATCAACTTAAAAGCAAGTCACGCCCGACTGTTCGGTGAATAAATAAATAATTCATACACTCGCTTAGATGTAACGGTATTGAAACAATCCGAATGTCTTCCAACTGATTCTCTTTCAGTGGAAACTTTGGGAATGTGGAACAAATGCGGACCCGAATAGTCGGCGTTTTTCGCAACACAACAATTTCGTTCCGCATTTGTATGCTACACTAGTTTCGCTGTATTAGAATTTTCATAACGAAAGTAACAAGGAAATTTTCATCTGCTCTTTTTGAAACATTAACTGCATCGCGATGTTTTGTTGTGCATGCGTTAGCGAATTCCGTGAGAATTCAGCATGTACAGCGTATAGCTTTTAGGCTTACAGCTAACAAAGCTGTTTCTTGCGATTTCAAGCTCTTAAGCGAGCAGTGGGGTGTTACTAAGCGATCTTCGAGGAGTCTGTAGCCTAATGGTTCAACGTATTGCCTATCATTGCGTTAAACGCGAGAGGTCCTGGATTCGAATCAAAGGGAAACGAAAAATTGTTTCGGTCGGGCAAGGCACAGAAGTCTGATCAACTACTTGCCTGTCAAAGAACGGATCAGTGAAACAAAAATGTGTTCGCCCCATGCCCCACGAGTGGGAAATGGGATTTCACACACACATATTTAATGATAAGTGAAATATTCCAACCACATAACATCTAAACAAGATGCGATGTTCACCTAATTTGGCTTTGGATATTCCGAAATCCACAGACTGAAACGAGATTAAACTCAACGGCTAGTGCATCTGTAGACGGTGGTTCGTGAGCCGGATGAAATTTCGATATTCCATCAATGAATTATCCAGGTTTCCAAAAGTCAAACATGTTTAAAAATATATAAATTCTTTAGAAACGTCTTGGTCCCGGTGGGGATCGAATCCACGACTCCTAGATTATTAGCCATTCATTGCTAACATTATTGGGCATAATTATTTACTTATAATATGTCTCCACGCAAGCTTAAAACTTTATATTCCATTTCCTTTCAGCCTATACGGTCAAGGTAGCCTCCGACCTTTGAAAATTGAAGAAGTTTATTTTCTTTTCTCGGGTCTGAACCTTAGACCCTCAAAATAATCAACTATTTATAATTTTTCAATAGTTTCCATTATATTGTAATCCGATTCCTCCAAGGTTTTTTATATGATCACAATTTAACAGCGTTTTTGCTAAAGAAATTAGCCTTTGAGTCCGGAAATTAAACTAGTTATGAAAATGGGGTTACTTAATTCATCGTACACATTGTTGTAGTTTTTTGTGTTGCTTAGTCATAACGATTAATAAATGAAAATACTTTTTAAATGCTGTGTATAGTTTACGCGAGTAGAACACATTTAAATAAAACACTTTAACGATTTAAAACGCTATATATTTTAGTTAAACTTGGTTAAAAATTATTTTTAACTGCGGCCCGACGTTTTGGATGCTTTGCAAGCCGTGGTCACGGGGATACCTCGCTGTGGCCACGGCTTTTCGGACGCTGAAAGTTTAACTAAAATATATCGCGTTTTAAACCGTTACAGTGTTTTATTTATACTTTTAATAACTTTGTTTATTTGTATGTTATTTTTTTAAAGAAGAACCACTATTAAAAAACAAGAAACAGTGAAATACAGACATAAATAACACTAACATTAAACACTTTAACGGTTTAAAACGTGAAATATATATCTTTATACCTAGTTTTCGGATGCTACGCTTATCTCTAGCGTAGCAGATTTTCAGTTCGATCTTCAATCTCCCTGTGGCCACGGCTGCTACAAAGCATCCGAAGCATCCACCGTAGTTAAAATATATTGTAAATAAGTTCAACAAGTAATTTTCGGATATTAAACCGTTAATAGTGTTTTATATAAATGTATACTACTCGCGTAAACTACAGACAGTGCTTGGATACCTGAGATTTGAGGTATCTTAGACTAGAAAAGTACGTACGTACCGTATTGTAGAGTAGAATATTTTTCACGCTTTTCCGCATTTCCTACTGTAATTTGCTTGTATTAGTCTCAGCCTAATGCTATATAACATAACGTAACATAACGCCTTCCTCGATAAATGTTCTAACCAACACAAAAACAAAATTTCAATTCGAACCAGTAGTTCCTGAGATTCGCGTGTTCAAACAGACTAACCATTCAGCTTTATAACATATGATGGCCCCTTATCTTAAAAATATCATTTTAAATGAAGGCTTTGACGGGTCTTTGTAAAGACTACGTGCAGAACTGTAAAGGAAAAAGTGTCAATGTTTGTTCTGTAACAATATTTAGGTATAAACACTTGGGATTTAACGAAACTCACACGGTTTTGGCCGATCACATTGAATAACATTATCCTTTCCGTTTTCACGTTCACGTTTTGTTACGGTGGAAAATAAGGAGAATATTATTAAGAGGGGATACTCAGCTTCTGTTAACAAGTATTTGTAACCTGTGGTTTTATGTACCTATCTCTCTATCCAGTATTAAAAAAAAACTCCCTTTTCTTTATAATAAGCGAATTTTTATTAATAAAAATATTGCATGAGTATATATGCAAACATAGTAAGAAATGAATCATTGTGCTATTTGTAGCATAAAAATTACATAAACACTTACTAATAATGATTAAATAAATAAGGTATGACGTAATCAAAGAGTTTGTTTTAATAAAATAATATACATACACATACACATTACGCGAGTAATACTGCATCTAATTTCTCAGAATACCACTTACGACCTAACAGATGGCGCTAGCGTAGCAGATTTAAAAATTGAGCTGTAGGTAAAATAAATTGTAAATAAGTTTACTAATATATTTCGCGTTTTGAACCGTTGAAAGTGTTTTATTTAAAATTTGTTATTTTGATGGAGGCCGCTAGTTTATTATTTTACCCATTCCTTTATGTTTGCAATGTAGAAGAGATGTGAGAATTATGGAAATTCCGTCCGTGTCACGAATTAACGTCCACAGATGAAAAGCTTAATCGCGTTTCGGTTTCAGTCTGTGGCTTTCCGAATATCCAAAGCCAAAATAGGTCGACAGCGTATCTTGTTTAGATGCTGGGGTTTTTACAAGTGCTTGTCTGTGCTCCTCTATCATTAGAAATATCTGAATAATATTATTTATCAATCAAAAATATTATTCAATTAACTCCTGCACCTAAAACCTGCTACTTTCCTAAAACAATAGCATTTACATTTTTCTCCCCAAATTATGTACGTTATGACTGTCGAAGAATCCTCAAAATTACTAACGAGTGTAGTCACGAACATTATTTGCTCGGTAGCCATTCATCATGCTACTTACGTCGAATAATTTATTTACAGATACCAACGCACGCTTCTCGAAACATTGGTACTTTTATATCAGATCGGGAAACCAACAATTAATAATAATTTCACAAGCTTTCAGCATTATGACTATCCGTTATAAAATACCAAACGCAATTAATTATTTGTTTTTTCGTGGCGCACCACTTAATGGCGTTTTGTTTTTAAACATTCGATATTCGAATTTTATTTCTCATCGAACTATTTGTAAGTGGCCATGTTAAATTTACACAGATCATAAGACAATTTATATTCTGTGGTTTTAATATTAGTATTAAGTGTAGTATCAAACGATCTGTTTTTGTATTTTAAAATTACCTTGAAATACCTACTCTAAAGCATCGCTTAGCAATTTTGAAATAAACAAAAGCAACACTGCTTTATGTTAAAACAAACTAACGTATGTGAGTGTAGTTCCATTGTTAAAAAGTAGGTCACTATGTCAAAAAACATTCAAACCGTTCATTTAAAAATACAATTTAATTATATCTTATACTGTTTTAATGAAAACAAGTCCACAATTATACATTAAGGCGTAATAAACTTTATTCTTTTTAATTTTAATTAACGCGATGAACTAGAAGTAGAAGTGAAACTTTTATGAGCAAGATTTGCATTCGCTTTAAAAATATACAAATGACGTAATTGCTAAATAACTTGAAGCCTTACAGCGACGCTTATCTTTACATTTTACGATAATCGAGGTAAGCGGGCGTTTTAAATTCTTTTAAGCAAATATTCTGCTGATTTTGCTTTTTGTGTTAAACGGTTCAAGACTGAAACTAAGTTCATATTATCTTTCATAACAAGTAAATTAATTACTATGTTCAATATCGATAGTAAGGAAATCAATCATTATTAAATTATTAATAATACACAGAGAAGTAAAAGTTCTAAACGCAATATTTTTGAAATGTCCATTCTTGTGTAGGCTTTCTCTATATTTGTACTTTTTTTTTAAGTTTTAGCCTTAACTGTGTAAGCAAACTGTAATACTTTTGAAATCTTTAAGCATATCATAGCACTATACACATTAAAAATAGATTTTAGCCCAATTGTTTAGGACAATAACACGGATCGGTGTCGTATTTTTTTTAACTTTATAATCGATTTTTAACTGTAATACTTAATACTAAATAAAAAATATGTTTTATGGATAAAGAGATACTCTGAAAAAATAAAACGCGACATCATTTTTAACGATGACTATTATTCTTTATAGAAGTATGAAATAAAAAATTCTATTTTCCATAACGTCAGTTAAGTAGAATCTGCTTTTAGGTCAAAGTTAACTGTAGCCTGGTTGAAGTCTATCTGTGCTGCAATCAAAACGCTTAGTAATGTCTGCAAATTACTTCGCTATAAAGGCACGATAACTATACTTCGAATTATATCTCAATTTCGCTGTATAATATAGTCGTTAACCTATATCTAGACGTATATCCCGGAAAGAAGAAGATCAGCACAAATTAGACGACATAACCCAAAAATAATAAATGTAAGTTTAAATCAAATACTTTAACGGTTTAAAACGCGATATATTTAACTAATATTTGAAACTTATTTGAAAATGATTTTTAACTTCGTGTGGTCTCTCTGTGAGGTCTCCCCGTGACCACGGCTGCTGCAAAGCATCCGAAACGACGGGCCGAAGTCAAAAATCATTTTCAAATAAGTTTAACTAATATATCGCGTTTTAAACCGTTAAAGTGTTTTATTAAAATGTGTACTACTCGCGTAAACTATAGACAGTATAAATGTAAGTTGTTTAAATGTCTTTGAACTTGGGTTCCGAACGTTTGGCTATGTAAACAACAGTAGGTAAATATCATAATGGTTTTTTATTAGATATTTTATAAAATAAACTAGCTGTGCCCGCGACTTGTCCGCGATGTAAGTTATCTTGGTCACCAAATTTTGTTTTTGCAAACCTCCTACTTATCCATGTCCCGTCGTTATCAAACGTTAATCCTAAAAGATAAGTAGATGCAGTCTTAACGCGGACATTTTTTAGATAGCTTAAAGAGTCATTCTTGATCCACCAGCATCAACAAACCTACCATTTATCGAAGTTCTTGAAATACAGCTTTTTTACTATTTAGGTACCATAACCGAAAATAAACCACCCCCTACTATAACGAAAGCATTTATATTATGTTAAATAACATAATATAAATGCTTTAAATTTAGATATTAATCTTAACAATGGTAGACGTCGGTCGGAGGCCGGACGAAGTTACAGTAGATCACATTAAAGAACTACAGATGGAAAAAATAATAAGATTCTGCAAGCAAACCGGAAGGTTTGAAGGGGACACGGGAAGAGTTGGATGACCCAAATCTCTGCAAGGAGGAAATGGGGAAATGGGTGAAATGGTCAGCGGACAACGTGGACTGACCACCCGTCCTGCCAAGGGTGTCCCCGATAGAAAATAAATTTAAAAAAAAAACAATGGTAGAACAATTAAAATATAAAGTCTTTATAATAGAATATAGATATTATGATGGCTTTGGTTCTAAATGTAAATATAAAAAAATACTTACAGCTCTGTGGGTGACGAAAGACGTTCGTCCTTGCAATCGGGCGCTGATCTTGGCCGGTGTATCCTCATCTTCCCTCTTCGGGTCGAACCAGCCAAACGCGGCGCCTACCACCAAAACAGCCCCCAGAATCATCAAAGCCAGGAAACCACCGATCGCCGCCTTGGTAGTCTGAGATATCACCATCGCCATTTTGATCAATATCTATCATCTAGTGCACATGTTTACACACACACCACACCGCACTCACGCAACATATAACGCGGTTCCATGAAAATTCACAGCCGACCTTTGGAAAATTTTAAATTAAAAATCGCAGACTCGCTCTTTGTTCAATAATTCGGTTTAGGTCAGCTGATTAATTTTTACAGTCGCTTCGGGATATTGGAATTTGAATACCCCGAGAGTTCGTTAAATACCGAATTATGTTGGCTATGTTTATAAGCTGTATGTTTTCGAATTAAGAATATGTTTAAGCTAATTTATTATAATTCGAACATGGCGGGTCTTTTACTTTATTTCTTTTAAATACTACCTGTATGGTATGTGTTTTATATAAAATTTTAATGATTATATCAAGATAAAAACAAACATGTCTAGTCCTTTGGTGCTTCTGATCCTAAAGACTGTAGAAATTCTATACGCCATATTATACGAATATTATCGTTATCATTAAATACTATCTCTAGTTAACGCGAGTAGTATAAATTTAAATAAAACACTTTAACGGCTTAAAACGTGAAATATATAAGTTTCTCTGAGATATTCTTCCCGGGTGAATCTCTAAGTGATCACGACTGCTGCAAATCATCAGAAACGTCGTGCCCTGGTTTAGTAATAATTTGTATATAAGTTTATATAATATTTACTGCATTTCAAACCGTTTAAGTGTTTTATTTAAATCCTTATCATAAAAAAATACATACATAGACATGTTTTAGAAAAGGACAAAAATAACATATTCTATACTATTGTTAACATGGTCCCGTGTTTTTCGAGTAGGTTGTATAAAAAATATTTCGACCCACATATAAAATTTGTGTCATATGAGATTTGGGTAACGATCACATAGCCCTAAGCCTTCCACGTACAGTGAAATGTTTTTTTCTATTTGTATAGATTAACGTTAATCTGTCATGTGAACCCCGGTGGTTTCGTGAATTAATCTGGTTGAATTTTTTTATATTTACCGGAAAAGAGTTATGTTCAGGATTCACTATAAATCTCTTTAACTACTCTGTTTTTGTTAAAAAGGTATCTTGACATTAGAAAATCTTTATTTTTATGACGAAGCAGCTGAATGAGTTTAACAAGAGATTCTCAATTGGTCGTAGGTTCGAATCGTGGCAGAATTATTTATTTTAATCTCTACTAGTTTTATTTGGTATGTCTTGTCAGTTGGGCAGTCCAAACGAGCACATTTGTCTAAAAAAAAATTATATTAGGAATTTTATTTTAATAGTTAAGTAAGTGTAAAAAAAATTAAACTAAGTTTTTTTATATTATAAAGTACTGTCTGTAGTTTATGTGTGTAGTAAACATTTAACGGTTTCATATGAGTATTAACGTCTGTAAAAAGTATTTTTTAAATAACTCTAATACGTTTCGCATGTCAAATCGTTAAGTATTTTATTTATTTTAAACTGTCCTTTGTATAAAATTTAGCGTTACTACAAGACAGTGCATTTAACATTTTAATTTGTTATATATATTTAACAACATATAACGTTTAATCTAGGCGGCACGTAGATAAACAGGTGAAGGCTAAAAAACATCGTTACGTGAACGGAAGCAACGTAAACGTTAGGTCGGAAGGGAGGGACACTTGACGTCGAAGTATTGTACAATATGCAACAAGATAACCTACATCCATGAATGAGAGGAAAATCGCTGTAAAACACATTGGAAATTTCTGATTTTCTTGAGAAAATGTTTGTATTATATTCTTGATTAATTTATTGTCCGGTTCGATGTCCGATAAATAATAGATAAGAGAATTAAGTTAATAAATACGTGAAGACTATGTTGTCTGTCCTAATCTATCATAAAAACGAACTACTAGGTAGTTTTAAATAAAACACTTCTACGGTTTAAAATTCGATATTTATTTGAAAATTGTTTTAACTACGACCCGACGTTAGTTAAATTTGGTAAAATAACTTTTAAGTAAGTTTATCTAATATATATCGCGTTTGATACCGTTAAAGTGTTTTATTTAAATGTGTATCTGCTCGCGTAAACTACAGACAGTATTTTAAAGGTGAACTTGAAAGAATTCCTCAAATTTTAATACAAAGTTACGAACTCTAAACTAGATCTTTTGGCATATCAGTGTCAAATCGATCTAAAAATATTTTTCACGTTTCAAATGTACAATTTTCTTGTAGAATTTTCTGTCAAATTTATTGTGTTAGTTTTCCGCGAGCAGTAAAAATTAATAATGAACAATAATTATACCGAAGACTCATTTGTAATAGAATTTTGTGTGTCTGTAATTAAGTAATTACCTTACAAAGGTCATTTATTAACATTTCGACTCCATAGAAATTGAACTTCAAACAAATAACGAAAATATAAAGATACTGAACGAGGGCCGTGAAAAGTATTGAAAGAATATTTAATTTCTAGCATTCAGACATAATTATGAGTTGAGAGTTATTTTAATATGTAGATCTTTTGTTTATACAACATCTTTTTAAAATGATTTATGACAATTGTCTTGACGATAACTGTTTTGGACAGTCGACCTATTTCATATCGACCTATTTTAGCTTTGGGCTAAAATAGGTCGATATCACATCTCGATTTAATATTAAAAACCCACAAGTGCAACAATAAACATTCCAAAAGTGCACTTTATCAAAGTCCATCTTTAGTGATAAAGTTATCTAAAAAAAAATAGTAATGAGATCTTTATAAGTTATGTTCTTGTTGGTCTGTAGGTTACATTCAACATTTGTTAACGAGGTCCCAAGTTCGAGGACTCAGAAGGTGTTAATAATGTTTATAATGGTCTTTTGTTGTGGTGGTAATCTTTGTTGGTGTACAGAGCAGTGGGACATAAAAGGTTTTCTTCGTTTAAACGAAGCTAAAACAAATGCACATAAATGTGCTAAAAAAATACAATTTTAGCATTTATACTTTATAACTAAATACTTGTGTTGCGTGTATATGTGTATAATGAAAATGCGTGTATACATTTTCTTTAAAACACATTGAAAATTTTAATGCGATATAAAATACACAATCTCATGTTATAAATTGGATAAGATTTAGATCCATTCTTAAAAGCTCTTGAAACTTTGTAAGTGTAAGATAATTGTGTTTGTGTTGGTCGATGTTCGCAATAGAATTAATGTTACAATAATTAAAACTTAGTACAGAGCGTAAACAATTCAATTAAAGCGTGACTGCTTAAAATTTTAAATGGCGAAGTGCTTTGTTTGCCTGTTTTAAGAAGTGCGAAATAAATAAGTTATTTTCCAATAAAATCAGATGAAAGAAACATCTAAAATTTTATTATTAAAACGGTTTAAAATATGAAATATATTAATAAACTTGTTTAATAACTGACAGATTAAGTGGCAGTAATTTTTTATTTATTTAAATGCATTTTAAACTGGCTAGTTTACAAATTGTAAAGCCGCGAGGTTACTGCATTTTTCTGTTAAATTATTTTTAAATTACCGCTATTTAAATACTGTTTATAGTTTACGCAAGTAGTGCACATTTAAATAAAACCGTTTAACGGTTTAAAACGCGATATATTAGTTAAAATTATTTGGTTTTTCGGTCCGACGTTTCGGATGCTTTGCAGTAGCCGTGGTACGAGAAGGCCCCCGTTTCAAATAAGTTTAACTAATATATCGCGTTTAAATCGTTAAAGTGTATTATTTACCGCTATTTGGCATAATATTATATTATTTGATGTGTTTGTAGATAATTATATTGTAGATAAGTCTGTTCCTTTTTACTAATAACAAGAAGAAGTCATTTTAAGTAAATTCTTACCAATACTCGTTGAATATTCACAAGAGGTTATTTTAGTAACTGAACTGTCAGTGACATTTAAAGCTTAGTTCATGGCTACTTTTGCTAGATGGCGTTACTAATCATACCTTTTATCTTGATACAGATTATAGTAGTTTCAAATTTTAACCTGTTAAATAATCTTTTATTTTTAATATTCTGCATTAAAATGTTATGATCTATGTCTGCATTTTATCAAATAACTAAATAAGAATATCTTGTTTCGTCTGGATACCACGATACAAAATGGGTTGTAGACATCATAAAATTCTGTACGAGTCACGAGCCACCATCCACAGATGAAAAAGACGTAAAGTTTAATATCGGACATCACATTTCGAATTCAGCCTGTGGCTTTCCGAATATCCAAAGCCAAAAACCCTATGCTTGTCTGAACTTCTCTATTACTAAAAAGAAATGGTAGTATTAGCTAGCTGGGCGCTAGAAAAGTCAAAAGTTAATATGACAGACCGAACTATTGATCGAATCAAAATCCTATACAATTCAAGTTGTGACATTATCAGAACATATTTTCGTAAAACATAGATCGTTTTTCCACCGAGAGAGTTACAATATTGTATACCAGCTAATACTTATTAGAAAAGCAGCTTATAGCCTGTACGATATAATATAATCCCCATTATTATATTCAATAGACGATAAATGATTACCTTGTACTATAACGATACAATATTACAATTACGAAGGTTTAGTATATTGTAAGTCTTATCCGTAGCTCAATTGCTTTATTGCTATATATGCTAAGCATTGGAGATCCTGGGTTCGGTTCCCAGTAAAACAAATAATCCGACCGGACAGGGTGTATAAGTTAGATTAACTTTCTGTAACATTAAGAAATTTAGACAGTATTCTTATTTAACACAGTTATAAGACAGAGTTAGTAAGTAGTAGTCTATCGGTCGAATGACGTCGGCGCGAATGCAGCTAATCGAATAAATTTACAAGATAAACGTTACTCGCTAGTGTATTCGCGCATTGCGAACATCATAGTATGCGATATATTTTAGTTAAACTTAAAAAAATATGTATATTTTTATTAAAGCGAAGACACCGTAAGTCAATTATGCAAGGACACAATTCGGCCAGTTTCGCCAAATACCAACTTCGTCGGAACAGATGGCGCTGATTTAGCAATTTTTACT